CTTGACAGTTCTATAACAATGAAAATAAACAGGCGAAAGACTAAAAAACAACGATACTTAGCGATAATTCATTCTACGAAAAATAAAAAAAAACTAAAAAAGAACTATTGTTGAAATAGGAATGGTTTTAGACGATCACCTTCCACCCTCTTGTCAACCGGATTCATTAAATGGGGTTCATATTCGGCTAACTCTGGGCTAGTGAACAAATTAGAAATATATTCTCATATCTATTTTTTTCTAGGCTCACAGTGGTTAGTGGAGATATTAATATTTTTGTAATGAGTAATCACACTTCAAGCTCAAGGTATTAAATAGTGACTCGACTGTTGAAAGTGCTTTGTCTATGAACGATGATACTAATCCTCATAAACTCTGGTGTGGTAACATGACGGACATTTACTATTAGAGATCACGTAGAGATTAAAGATCGAAAGCTTTTAGTATTGAAAAAAAACATTGAGCGTTAGTGCTCAGGGAAATAGGCCTTATCTTTTCAGTGTAAACAGTTGCAATTATGTTTTTTCAATTTTATTGACAAGGTAAACCATATGGGATGTAGACTATTCAGTGAAGTTTTCGGTTAGTTAAATATAAAGGACGCTACTAGGCACTTAACGCAATTATGATTCCTACTATCACAGCCCCCAAGAAGCAAACTAAACTAATGCAAGCAAAAACGACAGCCATGTTACGATGACGTTTGGATCCACGTTTTCTGCAACGCTCTCGTATTGATCAACTTCAAATAAGTTTGTCACCTGAAGTGAGCAATCCGTCTTTTCTTTAATTTTTTTGGTTTCTTGGACTTTTTCTGCTTTTTTGATCCTGCTGGCATAGTCACTGAGCACTCACTGGTTCCTAGACCAGAAACGGGAGCCTCATGCTTTTTGGTTTCTGTAAAGAAAGGATACATGAACGTGTATTTTGTTTGTGTCAGAACCAGTTTCCAAATATCTCTTCTCATCCTGCTCGTCTTGAGTTTCTGAATACATCTAGAACCAGAGCTTAAACCAAAATATCCTACAGAGTTACCTTGTCAGTCATCGCGACCGCTTGGCCGTGGAGTTGTTTTAGCAATGAATCAGCCACGTGAAATTTCCACGTGATTTCGGATGAATGCGTCTAATTTGAAAGATTCTGATCACGAATCTCAATTATATCAAAATCTATCAGAAGTTAAGCTTTATGAATTTATTTTCACTTTTCTCATAAGTTATTATATTCGATTACGTACTCATATCATTTGGACTTCATCGTGTTTGTTTGTACTAAAGAAATTCAACCGATCTAGCGCGTCAAAACGAAAAAATGAAAATAAACACGAGTTTGATACATCAGTTTATGATTAGTGAATACGTGGCTGAACTTTTTATTAAAATCAACTGAAAGAAGAACAATAAATAATTTTTTCCATTTTTCAGAGATCAAGCAATCTGCCACAATCCATTATATTTTATCACACACGTATTATAGCCACATAGTGTTGGACAGCATCTAGAAGAAACTTGATCATTCAGAATCAAGAATTTCAAAACAAACTTCCTTATGTGTAGCGAGTTGTGAGGACATTCATAATCTGAGTGACACCACGATGTAGTACGTACGGCTAAACATTTGACGTTCAATGTGTATGGATCGGGGCAAACATCATCGCTCATCGCTCTTGACGAGAACGCTGTAAAACAGTTTTATTTATATTTTCGAATGCTCACGTACTCATGCGGTTTAAATAGCTTGTAGGTTGCGATATGCCAACATGGATGCACATGTTGTAATTACAACCTGTAGGACAGCACATTGATGGTATTGTAGAGGTTCCTCTACATTCATAATCAGTATTACACCTGAACGAAGATGTTAGGTATGAATGCTTATACTTGAATTACCAATTCACGCCTCTTGTTTTTCTGCAGTTGATATTAAGAGCTGTCACTGAAGGGCAACTGAAATCACAGATGCTAAGTTTTTTTTTTTCTGAAACTACTAATTCGAACCGCGATTTCGAAGGATCTGTACAACAACTGCCTGGGCCTGCTCCATTAGAGCAGACAGTTCCAGACTCACATCGTGAAGATGACATACAGGAATGGAAGTAATGCTTACAAAGTGGGAGAGATTCAAACCCTGTTACAATGCTTAAAAGTGTGAAATACTAATAATCTTACGAGGTAACACTGGAGCAGATCTAGGTACGACAATAGGTGCTGGAGTATGGCCACACTCTGGTTTCATAATACCTGGTAATTTGAAAGACTGGTGAAGGAAAAGAATAAAATATACTTACCTAACTGCTGATAATAGTCACATACTGACATTGCTTCAGCTGAAGCTAAAAACATTAATCCAGCCAATAGAAACATTTTTGAATGAAATAATTCCAGGAATTTCGAAGAGCTAAGAGTTAAGCTGAAACTATTTTTTCATAGTCATTAATATTTTTCTCCAGTGTTTGTCAATATTGACAAATAATTGGAAAACAAAATGTCGAAGACGAGTGAAACATATTGGGAAGATGCTCAAAGAGAAAAAAATAAAGTGGAGAGTATGAGAGGCTTCACGATGTTCGAAAATCAAGCAGTGATAATAGTAGGCAATGTAGACCGGAAAAGCATGATTCCACTTTTCAGGTATTAATACTGGATCTCACTTGACTAGTTTGTAAAATTAACCAGAATAAGTTTTCACGAAAATCAGCTGAAGTGTGAGTTACATAGGACAGACAGATATTTCTTGGAACAGGGAAATATGATTTGAAAAGAGAATTCCCCGATAATGACTACGAATATGCTATTTGGGGAGAAATGATTTTTAAGAACCATTGGAAAAAACAATCAAATGAAAATTAATCAAGACACAGATATGACACTGAGACGAACTGGAGCTTGAACCAAGAGCAAACATATAAATGCTGGGTCAAGAAAATGAAGAAATAGACAAACGAGAGAAATAGGAAAAGAAAAATGAAGAGAAAACAAGAGACATTGAGACTGGATTCTAAGCTAACAATCAGTTCCGTAGCATTTTTGATAAAGAGTGACCATTGAATGAGCCAGAAAATTAAGTCGGAGGGCGGAGTGTACTCCAAAATCTGAAGGTGAGAACAAGAATAGGGTAGAATAAACAAGATTAATCAATTAGCGAAACGTTTCAAACCTTCTGTAACCGGAAAAGTGCAATCGAAAAACGTAAATATGAAATGATCGGCACAGTTGAACTAGTGGATTTCTGGTGGTTTCAAGTTGGTGACTATGGGATCGTCAAAGATGACTTTCCTTGTCTTTTAATTCAGACTTCGGAGGTTAAGCAGAAATCAGTGATAAGTGGACAGACGAGAAACCTGAGGGACTTTGTGGGAAATTGGGAAAATTCAGTATAATTAAAGAATACTTTTCTCAGAAAATTTTACTTCCACGAAGCTAAAGCTTCGGTCAGTCTGTCACTTGAAGGCATTCTGGAGCCTTTTGTAGTTGATGGACGGCAACCGGACGCTCTTTTCAAAGCATACGGATGTTTGCTTTACCAAATCAAAAGAGAGATTCTCTCACCTTTTTGTATATGATTTACGTGAATAGAATACTGATGTCTGCTGTGTGTTTCTTAATGGCTCAAATTGTTTAGCACGCCCAACTTCAACACTGACCAGTTTCCTGGAGCACATGTTGATGTTGATTGGAAGTCTAGCTCAAACTTAAATGCCTGAATAGAAAATCAGAACATATCAAAACTCAAAATATGTTTGTCTCTAACTCCCTTTGAGCAGCCATATATCTCTTCAGTTCTCGGGTTCCGTGCTCCATATAATCCGAACCTTATAGTTTCTAGTTCACTCTTCCAACCAGGTACATTGGACATTGTCCGAATCCGATTTATTCACTATTATGTTTCGATTTAACTTGGCATGCTTTTTCATGATTTTCTGAGTGAGATGATGAAAAAAGTGCTGAAACGATTGTTATTGCTTATTTATCTTTTCTTCGATATAGTCTAAGGAAACATCAGGTTCCCTTGAAAGTCAATTGTCCACGAATAACGTTTCTATTGTATTGTTCTCACTTTAAAGTCTAGTTTGCCGTTTCCGGAAAAAAAAGAACAGGTGTCTTCCACAGGTAATGGTTTAAATTTTATTATATAACATTTAAAGCCCTGATGTTTGAGCTTCTATAAATCTTAAACTCAAACTATGTCTTTCAGCGTATGTCCCGTGAGTGGAGGCATTGTCTGGTGTCCAGAGTATCATCTTCGCGAAACCTTTGTTTTCTTATTTTGCTATGTTCTCGCTATTATCTTCGGAATCAACATTTTATTAAAAGAGCAAAGGATCAAAAACATTTTCATGTTAGATACAGATAGTTGAACTTTCTATTTCATAGAAACAACTGGTATACTTTATAAAATTTAACTACTTCAGTTGGCTAAACAGTTATTCGAGATATCCAACGAATAAGTTGTTAATACTGAAGCGGAAAAATAAAGGACAATTTATTTGATTAGTCAACTTAATGAATGAGAAAAGAAATCATCTGATGACCGGTCTTTCCGTCTAAACAATCCGACAACTCACACTAGGAAAATCACTAGACTACACTTACAGATAAACGGAATATACTGGTTACAACACTAGTTTTGTAAGGAGCACAAACGAATAGATCCTTCCAGTTTCAACTGGACAGGCAGAAGCTGGACTATTATTTACCTACACTGTAAACGCCGGAAGCAAGGTTCAGGCAGGTGTTATAACCACAAGGAGTGGGGCAGCATAAACGCCGAACTGTAGGCGATTCGGTTCTGTGGAATCTGCCTGTCTGGAATAATACATTAGATATATAAGGTCAAAAAAAGGTGCACTAACTTCACACTCATGGTCATAATTGCACCAGTTTGTATGTTTCCAATAACTTGGTATGCATTTCATTTGCATAGTGTTAGGATCTGGACAGTCGTCGCTAGTGATGAAACGCATGGCTGAAAAAACTTTTGTCTTTACGAGAAAAGGTAAGTTACTTGCCGTTGTCCACAATAAGACCATTCATTTGTAAGCAAACATTAAAACCGCAGCCTGAGAAAGCGGAATGTTACATTATTCCCTAAGAAGCTAACCTGTATCACAACAAAGCTGTGGTGATGTTTTGGCGCAATCATTATTAGTGTAGCACCAGCTAGTCGTTTTAAGTTTTAATCTCCATGGTAAGCATACATACCCCATCTCAATAGTGGATGGACATTTGTAAACCTGTCTAAATGGGATTTTATTCATTACATATTGAGTAGACCAAGCATTACTTAGGTTGAATATGATTTGTTGACGGCTTCAAACAGCATCGAGTTCCTGTTCCTGATTTAAGGCAACTGTACTTAGAAGAGCACATCTTCTCGAAACGACAATCCTAAGCGAGAAGAATGATGAAAAGCTTTTTCAATAGATTAAAATACATTATACTCCGGTCCCATGCATACTTCAAAGTTGAAAAATCTCTCTGGACGCTGTTGGATTTTGTTCAAAGATAGTTGTCTTCTGTTCTCGTCTTTTTCTATACTTGATATAATGGATGCTAAAGGGCTCAGTGTGCTATTATCTAGACAGGTTGCAGTTCTTTAAATTTGAAGAAAAGAAATGTTCTTACCGGAATCATTCTCAAGCGAACAGTCCGAGCTTGTCCTTCCTATCATTTTTAAGTAATCACAGACTTTGAGAGCTTGATGAAAACTTGGCGAGATTGAAGAACAAATTATGAAAACCAGAAGACATCTGTCCATTCCTAAAAAACAGAGTTATATCGCCTATTAAAAATCAGAGAGTACGCTCGTACAAATATATCTGCATAGGTGGTCATATAAGACACCGGAAGTTTGACATATAGAGTAATTGATACAAATATGCAAACACATGCTTATATGCCTATTTGGGGAATACTATATTAGAAGAAAGAACTGTGTTTCAATGCACGAAATTTTCAAAATTCTACATACTGAGCTCTATGGATTTGGAAAACCGACCTCGAAATAAGTTGGAAAAAACGAAATAAAAGATAATTAAAACCTGTACGGAAAAATCGTAAGCATCCGATGGTTGAGACTTTTCTTTATTCCATTCAAATCTCGAATTCCCAAATAAAGAAACTTTGAGTTGAGAGTGGGCGGTGGAAGTAAAGCTTGTAGTGCTCATAAGAAAAGTCTAAAAAAGCTTAAGATGAAATGATTTTCAATAATACTTACAATAATACCTGTGTTGACATAGGACTTTTCAAAAAAAAACTTGAATGAAGAGCTTCCGAACTTGTGAAACATCAAAACAAATTGAGATTTCATACAGTAGTGATTTCTGTAGGTTTTTAAGAGTACGGTTTTATTTTATAGTACAAATAAGTACGTGATACAATGTTAGTAAAGTATCATAGCTCAGGTTCTAAATGATCTCTGCTTGTAATTTCTACCAGATATACATTTGTAAAGGAAATAAATTCAAATTTGTTTTTTGTGTGATCTCTCCTCAGATGATTCTTTTTCCTTACTATTATGTTTTTTAGACTGGATCTATTTATTCTGAGCGAGGATAGAAGACCCGCTGTGTGATGAGAAACAGGTAAATAGGCTGTTTGCATATTAAAGGTCTGAGGCTTAGACGCGCTCTATATGACACGCGCGAATTTACATATTTTGAATGCGCGTTTGTTTGTGTTATTGTTGTTAATAATACTTTGTAACTTCAACAGAATCTGTAAATGGGTCGCATTTTAAAAAAAGAGGTGTAAGTTACTTTTTTATTCCATTTAGTGTATCTATGTTTCAATTTTTCTTTGTTTTAGCTCAAAACCTCCGATTAAGAAGGTCAGTACTAGCCAAATCACTAAACCAATGAGTAAAGAGGAACTTATACAACGCCGGAAAGAAACTCAAAAATTTTATGCGTAGGGCTTTCGTTTCATATGTTTATATTTTGTTGTTATTTAGACAAATGTCTTTACAAAGAGCCAAAGTTCCTTCTCCGGGCGTCTCTAAGATAATGCCACCAACGTAAGTTTTCAGTATATGTTCGAGTTCAATATCAAATTATAGAGTGAGAACTAAAGACATCATTTCTAAAGCTCCACTAAAACCGTCAGCAGGGATCACAAAAAGTGTTGTGTATGTTTATAATATAGTTCGTGTCAATCAACTAATTTACTTAAGGCATGGTTCAGCGAAAAAGTCCGATTCAGTTAGTAATAGTGTGAGATCCGTTCCAAGAGACACACCTAGATCTTCTAAAATGGATTTCGAGTTTAAAAGCAGTGCATCAAGCTTACAAATGATCAAAAGTGGAAACATTCAAATAGAAAATATGGGTAGATTTAGTATGAGAGTAAGCGATTTGTTTCCTTTCTTCATCTTTTTCCTAACATTTTAGAGCAAGAAGAAGGTGGATCTTCCTAGAATGTCTTTGCTACCTCTTGGAATAAATGTTTTTGCAAAAAACACTAGTGACGCCGATAAGCAAAAGGTACTTTATCCTTATCTTCCTGAAAACGTTTCAAGTTCCTAGGTTTTTGACTTCATGAGAAACCAAAACCAGAATCAAGCTAATGAACCCGAACCCAGAAGGTGTTCCTTGTTTGGCACTCCCGGGAGGAACAGATCTGTACGTTTCCATGTCGAAGATTCCATTCCTGAGACCTGCGAATCTGTAGGTAGTAACAAGGTATTCAAATATTATCGTTCGACATAGTGTGATGTTTCACGTCTTCAGGAGGAGTCACCTAAAAGTTCTACCTTCGAATTTGTTTGCAATACAAGTACTCAACCTGCACCCCACTCGATATTAAAGAAAAAGGTTTGTTCTTGCACTAATGTTTGACAGTTGTGTTATCCTTTTAGAAACGGTTATCCAAAGCCTCTCAAGACTATATTGCGGCTAAGGATGGATCATTCTCAAATCCGAATATGCAGAAAGGAAATAAATTAGTTTTCGCTTCTAGCTCCGAAGAATCTGGTAACGAAAATGAGGATCCAGTCATCAAAAGCAGTAGCACTCCTCATAAAACAAAAAATATAAAGTTTGTCGATATGCGAAGCCCTCAAATGAAAAATGCGGAACAATTCTACAAGTAATAGGAGGACATTTTTTTAAATCTAATCTTCTCATTCAGTTTCATAATGCAGAATCAACACTTTTTTGAAAAGATGAATGAAATCCAAAAGAATGAAATCAGAAATCTTGTAACAGACTGTCCTCAGGAGTACCTGCCAGAGCTAGACGAATCCAATGTTTCATTGAAATCTTTACCCACTGATACACCAGCAAAAACAGTATGTATCCTTTACCTTTCAACACTGAAATTGTCTTTACAGAGCTTCAAAGGGGTTAGCAGGATTTTAAGTGAGAAAATGAACACTCCTTCATCTCTTCGCCGTTCTTTACGTATTGGTCGTAGAGATACTGACAGTGACGGCTAACTTTATTCAAATGCTCATCATTTTTATCTTTACTTTTTGTATACTGGATTATACTAGAATAGTTTTTCATCTACTTGTATGTACTGAGTTTTGTGAATATTTTTTACTAAATACTTACCCTGAAAGCGAGTTCTCTAACAAAACTGTTCTCTTTGTCAGAGCACATATTTTCTTGTATACACTTTGCATTCATTCGTATTTCAGTTATATGATACCTTTATCACGATGTTTCCATAGATTTCGCTCAGCTCATCTGACGCACTATCGGAGATTTGTACGGTTTTCTGAGAAGTACGTTGTCTTATTAATTTGTATATATTTTTTGAAGCCTAATAAAAATGAGATTATTGGTTATAGACTTGATGAAAGAACAGAAGATGATCTTCTACTTAGAACAAAAGATTTTCGTGGAGTAGTATCAAAATACGGAAGAGTTCGTGAATATAGATCTAATGAGTAGCCACGATACTGACTTCAGGACAAGAAAGCAGTCTCACCAGAAATCCATTTGGCTCATTTAAAGCAAAGTCTCATTGTGAGTGGTAGAGTTTCTGGTGGCTCTTTCTTCGAGAATATCGTCAAAGAGTTGGAGAAGAACAATGGTTCGAAAGACTCAAAGTTGTTAAATCGCTCTACGTTTTAGAGTCTCTACGTTTTGTATTAGGGAAGTATCCTGACCAATGGCTCTCCTTAATTTTATCGAGTTGTGGAAATGCAATGTCTAATGCTAATAAGAAAACTCGAGAGATGATTTTGAATAGATTGTGGGATGTTCTTATCAAAAATGGTAAAAAAATATTTAATTGAAAGCTTTCGTACTGTTTTATAGCCATTCCCATAAGTATTACTGCATACAATTCGAGATTGAGAGCTATGCTCGAGAACAGGACTAACTTCTCCGTTGAAGAAGAACTGTCCTACCTTACAGAAGATTTGTAAGTTACATCAGAATACAACAGGGAATTTCAAAACTGACACTTAAGAAGTCTAGAACCTAACCAGGAGACGTTCCAGTTATTTCTGGAAAGAACAGCTCATTTAGGAGACATTGACGCATGTCGAAACTTGGTTTGTGTGAGCTCATTATTACATAATTTGTCATCCAAGGTTTACGAGATGGCACGGAATGGTTGCATTGTTGATTCCATTTGTAATCAATCACTTGTATATTGTTTTGCTGTTCGTGGTCAGTATACGAAAGCTGATTCTTTAGTAGAAGTTAGATACTATTCATTTCCTTCATCATGCTCTGACTCTAGAAAAGTAAATCCAAGTTTGATGAGCAGGCACAAGCTCTCGCTAATGGAGCCTGTGCTAGAGCCGCAGCTTTTCGGGGAGATACGACTCGTTTAAGACAGGTGATAAGAATTTTGTAATCTCTTAGTGTTTGGTTGAAGATTCTAAGGAGATCTCTTGGCAAAAACAAAAAGCTCACCATATCTGCGAATGACTTGTTTGAAACAATTTTCCTATTGTCGGAGGCAAGTGTTGGAGATGATGTTTCTTCAAACAATCTTCTTATAGAGCAGGTACACGCTTCCATGTTTCGTTTATTTAGTAGTTTAGATTATGAACACGATGTCGCATCCTAAAGGTTTTTTTCATTTGTTGATCCGTGAAATAGAGAGAAATATATCTCATGATCATTTCTATACTACAATATGCTTATTGGAAGACATCAAGCGTATTTCGGAATGTCTAAAAAATCAACAGCGATCAAGTAAAACTATTTTTTTGAACATTCAAACCAATAGTTTCAGAAATAATGGAACAACTTCTGGCTAGATTGAGTCATCAGCTTATCCGTAATCAAGTTCCTATCGGTCAGGTGCTCGATATAGCTCGACGAATTGTAGCACTTTTTAAGACCGAATCTATAGGGTTAGTTGAAACTTGAATTGTGTTTACTGGGGCATTTAGATCTAGATTCCATGACAACCTGTTACATGCTGCTCTTATGTATAAGGATTTGAGTTCTGATCAAAGAATTGACTATATGACGGCTTTTATTGATGTGGTAGATCATCATCGGGAAAGACCACATCTTCTTCTACCTTTGCTAGTTTCGTATGATCACTGATCTTGATTTAGTAAAGAGTAGTTCTCATTTCAGTACGGACGATATCAACGAGCGGTTGAAAATATTGTTTCGGTGCTCGAGAATGGGCTATAATGATATCACCGTGTTAGGAAATGAGCTAATGAATCTGGTTCTACAACCTCTGTTCGGTAAACTGTTCTAGATTTTTTTGGAAACTCACGCGTTCTCCAGACACAAGCACTCCGTCCAGGAGAGAAACGAAACTGAACAAAACTTTTAAAGTTTTAAAAAGTTACGGAGTGTCAGATGAAGTCGTTTGGAAATTATTCCATATGTGGTTTAAAATCAGAGAGAAAGAAGAAGCTCTTGTACCTTTTCATCAGAGAACGTCTCCAACTTCAAGCAATTTACGAGAGTAAGTTATGTTGAGAATATTCTTGTAATTGGTTTTGGTTTAGTTGGCTGCGGGAGCATTACACCACATTTTTTCAACAAGAGAAACCCTTTTCAACGACGAACACTGTAGCTCCTGCCTATGAACGTTTGAAAGCGATAGTAGATGAAAGAGTATGGAGCTTTTGATCGAAAAACGTTACATTTTTTCTTTATAGGATGCATCTAAAGCTGTAATTTTTCTCGATAGATATGGCTGGCCGAAAGATACTAATTACGCTGAAATAGGTTCTCTGCTAGTTGAGCTTGTTCTAGATCTTGAAGACTGGCCTACGGTAACTAAGGTTCTAGGCTCACTGTGAGTTACTTTTTTTTGTAATTTCTGTTATGATTGCTATATAGGGCATCACAGACTAATGATTGGGCGGAGAGACACGGAGAATCATTTTCTCCTCTGAAAAACAATCATCTTTTGTCGATTTTGAGAAGACTTGCTCAAGAGAATACGGATTTTTCTATTAAACGTTTAATTGAGTATTCATATGAACTCAAAGGAATGTTTCCGAACGGTATTTTCAACATTCTCCACTTTTGAGAAAGAAGAACTTCTTTTCTTCAGCAACTGTTACGTATGACACATTCTTCGACACTTTACATGAGTACAACAAATTGTTTTATAAAATTTTCGAGGTTGGAATCTTTCAATTAACCTCATCACGACTTGAATACTTATCTGTCATTTCAGAAACTAACAGAGCTCGATGTAGCGAAAGTAGATGAAAGTATGGAGTTGCTGCGAACACTGATCAAACTAGACATTCTATCTTTGCATGTTAACGAAACGTTAACAACTGTTTTTGTAAATAATGTCTTGAAAAAGTATGATGAATTTCTGTTACCCAAAATAAGTGTTTTTTTGCAGAATCGGGTTAGAAGAAGGCGTCAACACCTGGATGAAGTTCCAGTCGAGTCTCTCTTGTTCAAACGGGATTGTAGCTCTACTACGGCACTGCTTGAACAGAAACGATGACTTGTCTACCAAGAGGATAAGTTATAGTAAGCATAAGTTTTTTTCCGATTCTTATATTATTTTTCAGTCTTACATAAAGCTCAGAACTTTACAAGCAAGTCTCGTGTCCATACGTTATACTGCGCCGTACTGTTATCAGCCAGAAAATACGATGACACACTGAAATATTACTCTAGTCACAAAGTATATCATCCACAAATGCGTTCTAATAAGATTTGATCTTCAGGAAGCTATAAACAACTCTGATTTCGTCTCTTCCTACAAACTAATGAATGCTTTGAAATTCAAACGAGTTAGTTGTTTCCTAATCACTACGTTCATTTCATTGTTCAGCTCGATGAAGAGTTCCTCTACAACTATGTAGATTTTTTGCTAACTCATTCTTCTCTATCATCTGATACAGCTGTTGTTGACTCTTTACAAAACGAATGCATCCGCCTCTGCCGTACGTTATCTTACATAATATTTAATAATCAGAGTAATTGTTGTTAACACCAACTATTTGCAGAAGTTCATGACGCTGGTCCACTGTCTTTGAAGATATACCAGCGTTTCCTAGAATCGGGCTTAGAATTTGATGACAAATTGAAAATCAAGTTATGGGAGATCATCGGGAAACACGAAGATTTCGCTAGGTATCATTACTGTCATACTTTCTAATCTTGCCTGTTTTGTTTCAGGAAATGGCTTTACCTTCCTCATGGTATGTTGAGGCTGTCAGAAAATGATCCTATTAATAGTGAAAGCGAGGGTTACACTATCCAATCAAAGCTAAGAGAGGATATTAAAAAAATTAGGAAAGAAAGCATTACTGCGGCGTGAGCCTAAAAACCTGTTATTAACTTTTGAATTGTTTAATCTTGTTACTGTTATTTGAAAGATCTTAACTCACTCTCAATCGGGTTCTTGTTTTTAAACTAGTTCGTATACCTTGTTACAATTTGGAATATAGATTGCGCTAGTTCGATTATTTTTTCTGTTCCAATGAAGATTTATAAAAAAAGCTTTTTTTATCTTTTAGAGGTTTTTGCATTCTGTGATCAGTCAAAGATGGTTTTTTGATGCTTCATTGTAAAATATACAACCGCTAAGTTTTTTTTGAAAATGGAATTGTTGTTCATTACACCCTTAATTCTTTCCCTCATATATTACGTGGACCTCACGTTGACTGTTGTTGCCACGCACATCAGTGACGGTACTATTGACATGCTCATTCATTTATGTTATGCTCTGGTTTTTAATAAGCTGGCTATTAAGTACGGCTACTGCTAATCTCCGCTGTTTACAATCTGATGACTTGCTAGGTAGTGACAGTGTGACCTGCTCTCGCTTCAATACGGTGATTAACAATAGTTCAATCAACCTTAGATGGGACTATCTTCTGTTCGGCAGTTGGGTAAATTCATTTCAGGAATGCTGGTTTCATTACGTAGCTTTTAATAATTCCGGCAAAGTAACAGAAGGCATAGAGAGAAAGTGCGAATTACGTAGCACCTGTGAAATTTATGGAATCAGGAACAAGTGCATGTCATTAACCAAACTCTCAATATACGGACAGGTTTAATTTCCATGGAGGAAGTTTGATTCAAAATTCAATTAAGTACGATTTCTTTGCTTTCCTCAAAGCAAAGTATCCATCTATTACCGAAGAGAGCATCATAAGAACCGATTTTTGTTGCTGTGCTGATTATGATTGCAACTTAGATGGTCCAAATCTTCGTGAAAGGCTTGTAAAAGGTCTCCACGACCTGCATAATCCTTCTTTCCTTGAAGCTGATTCTTGTGCCTATTTTCGTTTTGCTATAGTACCAATAATTGTATTAATAGTACATTGAAGGTGTGCTTCTTTGATAAGATTTTTATTTTTATCTCACACAAAATCACAAACAACTTATTTATGGTGAAAGGCGGAGAATAATTTGTTGGCGATTCGATTGAGGAATGCTTAGAAACTTGTGCGAAGGGAAAAAGTTTGAAACATGATAATCAAAAAAATAATTCAATATTTAGCCCTCAAACAGATTGAAACGTTTAGTTCAAGCCATCCCTTTCGGTGAAAAAAAATTTGAATAATTAAGCTCAAATTTTAAAAAGTTAAGTGTTCAGTTGATAGAATTCAGAACTTCTGCTCGAACATAAACTTTCTCTATTTGCACACGGGCGGTCCCTTTGCTTTGCAAGAAACGAAATATTACGTACCCAATGAAGAAAATTCAACAAGCTTGTTTCACTCGTAACACAGGCTTTTGATATTCTGAAGCTCAGAATTTCTTGTTATATATTACAGTTTTGTTTTATTTAGGTAATAAAAGAATGAACAGGTAGTCCAGGTGTGTAGTATGCGGAAAAATGTTTCGTTTTTCAATCAACGGAGCTTTTAGGTATGCAGAGCATAGCACTTCAACATACTCTTTGACTATTAAGATATTTTCATAATTATGGAGTTCGTGTTTCACGTCTTCAGCTGAAACATACTAGCTCAAGTTTGAGCGAATCTAATCCAATCACACGGGATAGGTGAGAACTTTTTATTTCTTAGCATTAACCCTTTACGCTTCTTCAGTTACTGGTTTATAAGGAGCGATTCCACCACCCCCTCTCTACAAAAAGAACCTTCTTTGCCGGAAATGTATGTTTTTATAAATGCGTCAACTTCATACTGGAGTTTTCAGAGTTTCTTTTGATGATTTTGGTGTACTTTCACTTGATCGTTCGAAGTCGTCGGAGACTATTAGTACACTGGGAGAAGCGTCTTTCATTGACAACTTGTTAAGGTTTTTTTGCGAATCCTTTATCTCTTAAGTATTTTGAATTAGGAATGAAACTTTCAATGTTTATGATGGTTTTATCCCGACAACAGTTGATATCAAAGAAATGGGAGGCACTGGAGAAGTTTTGGAGCAAATAGAGGTATGAGCACTCAGGAGATGTTTCTTTATCGTTTTGTTTCAAGATCGTTCTTTCTGAGGAGTTGAATATTACGGATGATGAAAATGAATTTTGTTCACTCGCTGAGATTAAATCTGCCATCCACTTGAAAGTATTTTTACCCTACCCGACTGTTTTTTCTATTTAATCGTTCATAGGACATGCCTAAACTTCAACATCTGCTGGCGAAAGCATGGCCTTCTCCTCGAGAACTCGCTCCTTTTTTGAATAAGTTGTTCGGCTTCATAGTAATTAATTCTCCAACAACTTTGGAAGCTGTAGGATATTTTCAAAAGCTGTGAGTATTTTCATTCTTTCCAAGTTTGATCCCATCTTGTATAGAGCTTCTCAAAACAAAAGAGCATTTATCAAAGATGAGATTGTATTAGAATTAGCATTACGAGCAGTACATGAAGATGGCGTGGAATGTGGAACAAAAATCTTACAAGATGTAAGACAGATGTTTACTACTAAAGCCCGTAAGATAGTTTTTACCAATATCTAATTCATACTATTGTTTATCTCAGCTATGTCCTCAGCTGGAAAAGTTGATCGAAAGCTATTGAGCTTGTATAGAGAAGCTTTTGAGAGAGGTAGAGTTTTGCTTGTCTGTAGTTTTTAACTGTATCTTGTTTATAGGTTCTGTCCAGGAAGTCCAAAAACTTCACGACGTAGTTTCAACGAGAGGATATTCCAGCACAAGTGTTGGACAACTTCTACGAGCTGCTGCAGAATCGTTCAAGAAAGAGTAAGCGCTTTTATTCGTACTCAGTTCATCATCACGGTTTTCAGAAAATTCGATCTAGCATTCACTAATTGGTCTCGCTTGGCCTCATGCTATGGCGATGTCACTGGGTCAGAAAATATTTTAGAAATAGCTCTTAGTAATCCTGATGAGAAAGAAAGTGCCAAACAAATCGGTGAGATTGTTTTCTCTTTGTTGATTCGTTCATCAATATACTTTTGTTCAGGAACGATTTTAAAGTTTACTAAGCTTCTGAAGCATCCGTATTCGAGCTTAGCCGATCTCATTTGTATGTACGTACGGAAAGACGAAGTCGAAAAAGCAGAAGATCTGATGTCGAAGGTTTTCTCAAGCATTCCTTTGATAGTTACAAATTCCTTCACAGCTTTCCGTGTCCGGAAAACACTTTAAAGTTCCTCTCCAACAGTTTTCATGTGAGACGAATGGATTGAAACATATCGAACAATTTGCTCAATTAGTATCCACATGTATGTACGGAGAGAAGAACCGTGGAGGAGTTAAAAAGGAGAGAAAGAAGGTTTGATTTGCTCTGTTATTCGTTCATACTCTTCATCAACAGGACTCGAACCTGAACCCAGAACTTCTGAGAGTCATTGATTCTCAGTGCCGAACGTCTTTCACTAGATTACCTAGGCAGTTCGAAAAATTCAAATATGATAAGAAAAAGTGAGTTCATTTCTATTTTTTGATTCTTGCATCGCCTTTTAGAAAACCATGTCGTGTTGATGAAGAACAACTAAACTCTCTCTCTAAATGTATACAAACAACTTGGCTCACTTTAGCAGGTTTGGCTCAGTCAAAAATCAGAGTTATCTTAATTTGTTTCAGAATCAGAGAAAAACTACGAGTCTGCTCAGAGAATGGTATCCTGGTGTCTACAACATCGTGTGGAAATTTCTGAAAATCTTTCAAAAAGGGTATCTCAACTCAAGTAGTGCTATATAAATGTATCATAGAATGTAGAATATTCGCTTAGGTCATTTTGTTGTTATCCTAATTCTTGTTACTTGTTTTCATAGGTTTACCAATAAACTTTCTAGCAAATTATCTTGTTTGATTATTAGATGGTTTTTAACCTTCATTCTACATTAGTGTTCCCCAAAACCTGCGCAATCAACCTCTTCAGCTCTGATCATGCTTGGAATTGGTAGGAACGGACTTCGGCGGTTAGTTCCATTCTACCAAATGTTTTATGGAAGACTATCGTTCAGATTAACTCCTCAGCGAAGGTTTTTCGCTGTCGCAGCGAGCAGTAAGGACTCTACCACATTCACGCAGAGGCCCGGTAGAAGAAACAATACTCCATTCAAGAACTTATCGGAAGAGCACATTAATCTGCAGAATAAGTATAAAAACAGTTTAAGCCTGTCGAATCTCAAATCAATCCATGATTTAATAGATGTGTAAGTGTTTGTAAGGCATGCTAAGTTTTGAAAATAAATATTTAAGAGTTGAATGGAAAGATTCAGCGATTCTTGGCACAACTCTGCATTATGCTATTTCCTTGCTGTCTGATCCTAAGCAGAATGTCTCAGCTCTCACTGATCGAGAAACTTCTGTGGTAACTTAAAACTTAATGATACATTTCAAGCAAATTATGTAAAGGTTTTATCTATTTTTGGGGAGAAAGCTATGTCTACAACCACAGATAAGAGAAAGGAACTTCTCAATAACGCCATCAAGTTACTCGAAGAAAGAGGTTTGCTGATTTCTAGTTATTTTCCAAGTTCAGCTTCTCAGGTGCTACTATTGGACCACTCTCGAGAAATTCTTTATTAAGTGTTAGACTGGATAATGGTGAATCTATCAATGTTGTCGAAACATTGCAAGAATGGGAAAACCTTGGAATAGTTCCCACTACAGAAACGTATGAAATATTATCCAGATCATATGCTTTACAAGGCAACGTACAAGGAGTAATGTAAGTTCTATCGAGTTTCGAGATTTATTTTTTTTTGTCTAGAGATATTATTAATCATGTGAAGTCTTGTGGAACTACTATCACTGATACTTTAATCCAAAGCATGCTCTATGCTGTTGCCACTACCGGGTCTTACGACCAAGCATATAAGCTTCTAGAGGTGAGTGAGATCAAAACTATTAAAATATTTCGGTTTCTTACCACTATTTCAGAAGTTCTCGAATCCAGCTAATGATGTCAAACTTCGTTACTCCATTGCTAATGCAGCATTGACTAAAGAAGATTATTCAGAAGTAGTTCGAGCTGTTAAAGTTATTCCTGCTAATTCAAAGTCACATACGGTACGAACCATTTCTAACCCTCACTTCTCAACTTGGCAAATTTCAGATCGAAAACAATAAGTACATTCTCGATTTATATTTAGATTTATTAGAACTCCACAAAGTTGATGTGGCTGAAGAAGTATAATACTCATTTTTTTCTTATTTTGCTTCATTTTTAACAGATAAAATCTGCTCTTTCTACAACACCTGATGGCAGTTCTTTGACTGAATATCATCATAATCCCCGAGTTGTTGCCAGGATTCGAAAAAATAGAAGATCAGGAAATATTTATGCCGCTCTAGCTATGTATAGTGTTCTACATCCCGTTTTCCGATCACCGTTAGTATAAGATTCATTGTATGGCTGTAATATTATTTTAGGCGTATTGAAGATCTTCTGAGAGAATCAGCAGTTTCGTATTTCCATTCTTCCGGAGTAACTATGGAGAAAGCAAAGAAAGTCGCTAGAAAATTACACGAACAGGAACTGATAGGGTAGAGTTATCTTTCATACGAGGTTGAACAAAGTAATACAATTCAGAGATATTGATGAATTTTTACTTCAATCAAGTTTGCCAACATCTCTGTTCGTACAAATGTTCAACGCTAACAGATCGAACGAGGATGTTATTTCTAAGTTAGTGTCGCAAGCCAGTCAGAGGTACAAATTAGCTAAGAAGCTTTATCAGCCTGTAAGTGAAGTGCACAGCTTAGTTCTCACCATATTCTATTTAAGCTCGTCGATAGCAATGCTTCTTTCAATGAAAAAGCTTTGGCCTTGGCCAATATCGGCATCGTATGTCTATTTCCATCCAAAGAGGTTAGCAGTGTTGAGTTTTATGGACTTCTCTTCAAGTTAGGAGGATATGGTTAGCGAAGATCAGCAAAATGTCGTGCAATTATCTCATTTTCTAGACATGAACCTTGTAAAAAGTGCGCTTTCTCAAATCCCCCAAAACAATATTCGAAGAGAGTTTGGTACTGTTTTTGTTCAAAGATTACTTATGGCGCATACTGATCCTTTGGCAGGAGAAAAATTGAAACAGTTAATTGAAAGGTATGTAGAAAATAGAAATATCTATACACAAATTGTATTACTTACAGCGAAGAACTGCGCTCTCTCAATATTTCACGTTTCTCCAAACAGCTTGAAAAACTAATCCAAAATAAGAATAGATCTCGAGAAGAAGATGAGAGCAACTTGAAGTTAACTGCCAAGCTAATAGCTTTGAACTTCCCAGGTAAATCTTTATCAATGTTATAAAAAAATGGCTTATGTGAACCCGAAACACAAAGCGCTATAATAATAGCAATCATCCGTAAATTATATCGAGTTGAACTCAGAATAAAATTTTTTTATTTTTCTCAGGTCATAGCAAAGTGAAGGAACTTTTTGTTGTCAATCACTTGGTCAACATCCTCAAGAATGATGCTATGGATGACGATAGAGCTAGAATTTTTGTCGGCTTTCTAGAGAAAGAGGTATGTTCCAATCACAACTCGATTCTAAGAGCAGTTTTAGGAACATGTCGCTATACCGTCAGCAGAATTGATTGAAGCACAAAAAACGTTGAGAGATTCGAAAATGGATGAGAAAGCTAATCTCCTCTATAAGTTGAAGAAGAAGAACACTGTACGTTGAGAAACTTATTTTTGACTTATCCATCTTTAGACGTATGCTCGTTGGCAAGAAACAAGCTTAGAAAAGCTTGAAAAAGAATGGCACACGTTAAGATCAGACCCGAAGTTCTCGAAAGACGTCGTAGGAGCTTTGCAGGATGTTCTGTTCAAGAAACTACAAACTGAGGTTCAATCATACTTTTGTCAGTTTCATTTTTCTTGCTCCAGCCAGTTCAATACAAAGTCATTCTGAAGTGTTTAAACACGCTCAAGGCTGAGCAACTACCTCTGCCAGCTTTATCCGGTAGAGTTTGGCAATTGGCTCTTGACGCAGCTTTGGATAACAGGGACATTGAAGCTACCTCTAGTTTGTGGGAGATCAGGTTCCGTATTATTTCATATTCGAATAATTCGAGCTTCTCAGGCCTTCGACACTTACGTCATCAAGTTTTGCTCTCCGTTACATATCTGCACTTTTTGTTAGTGGGGATATTGACAAGGCTGACCAAATATGCGAAGATCTGCGTACTTCTGCAGCCACTATCAATGGTCGATCACTAGAAGCTGTGAGTTTCATTTCTTCTTCGAGAATGACTGTTAGTTTTTGAAGGTTGGAAAATCGTTGGAAGGTGTTGATCAAACCAAACTTAATGCCTTAACTGAGTACCTTTCGAATAAATTTGGTCTTAAACCTGCAGCAGCACGATACATTGTCCATCATGTTAAACTTGATGAAATCAAGAAATTGATCGCCGAGTAAGTAGTATTATGACAACTCGTGTATATTTCTGTTTCAGAAATAAATTAACCGAAGCATTCAATGTTGCTTGTGAAGAATCACAGGCGATTGGAGTGCCTTTTGCACATTTCGTTCTGTTCGAGGCTGCTTTCAAAGCGTAATCGTTTCTTATTCTCTAATAGTAACTTGCTGTTTACTTTTCAGTAATGACGGTGCTATGGCTACAAACATTCATAACTTAGTGAGGAGTTATGTTGGACAGAATAACGCTATCCTTGATACGGCATATGCTTTCTTGAGAGCAGGATTAGCCCAAGAAGCTTCAAAACTTTTAGCAGTATGATTGATTCAAGTTAATTCTTATAATTTCTTCTTTAAGAGCAAAGGATTAACCATAACTTCACGTAAAATAAAGAAATTCATGATCGAAAGTGTTAGGAGTAACAGAGTAAGTGTCTAAGTATCTCCCAATGCTTTTACTTCGACATTAAGGCTGACGTTCTTCATGGCCTGTTCTTGGGTCTCAGTGAAGATGAAAAAGCTTCTACACTCGATTTGAATGATTTACTGTTAGAGCTTTGTAAAATTTATTGTGAGTTTATAAGGACATAGTGTTTTAAAAAATATTTTTAAGATAAGGGAAATGAACTGGAATCTATCTCTAAGTTAGAGCAGGAAGTGAAAAAACGTTCATTCCCGATGGATGAAAAAATTCGAAACGTGTTTCAAAGTGTTGAGAAGCAGGTTTGTGGTTACAGATTTTAAAAATTTTATTTTTTTCAATTTATTACAAATAGTATGATGGTCCTAATAACCATCTTTGATTGTTCGTTCTCTAAAATGAAAAATCTTTATTTCAGAGAAGGTCATCAACAAATCAGAAATAGTTGTTGAATAGTACGAGTTGTTTCTTGTTCATGTTAATTCATATGTACTAGATTTATATTTGAATAGGTATTTTACTAGTTTGTTAAATAGAGTTGTTATGTGCCTTAATAAAATTTTTCATGAGCTTCTCCCAATTTCTTCTTTGTTTCTCCGTCATCTCCAAAATCACATACTGTCATTCATTTTTTAAATTCTCGGCACTAATCGATAACAGAGCCTTTTCAGATCTTATGGTTCTGGAACGTTTTGTGTTCGTACGAAAACTGGTAATACTGAAATCTCAATTTGTGTGATGTTTTTCACATATTCTAGTGTAGTGATGCGTTGAAACGGCAACCATTCAATATATCCGAGCTTGTTAGCTTATCGAAGAAAGATATAACGAAAACCTTGGCAACCCTATCAGAAGCAAGGTTGTACCAGTGCATGCACTACATTTATGAA